TGATCCTCAGAAAATCCTTGCGGAATCTGCAACCATATGAGAAAAGTTCCAAATATATAATGTTGTAAAATGTTAGATTCCAAACATAAATTTAAGATCCAGAATTAACAAAAAAAATCTAGATTCTGAGACTTCTGTTGAGCTCAAATTTTAAGATCCACGGTTTAAAAAAAAGATCCTGGTCTTAGAAAACTTTTCAAGATTATGGGGCTGGATTCAGAATTCTAAGAGAAATATTCGAGACAGTTCCAATAAAATTCCCGGTTATTTCCCGGTCAATTCTCGGTTCTCCCAATTTTCTCGGTTCAGGTCTCCTTGCATTTACTTTAGATAGCAAAGGGTTGCGATCTGTCATACAAGCTTGAACCACCCTAACGCCCACGTTTCCAATAACAATTTCCAGGCAAAAGTCAAGTGACCAGTACGTACTAAATAAGATTGCAATCAAATGAGCTTTAGGATGATGATCAGGAACTGATTTGAAATCAGTTCCATTATACTACCGCATGACCTCATTATAACCCACACAAAAAACCTCCCTCCAGCGTCTTTCTTTGTCTCCAACAACGCGAGCTTCAGTATTCCCGAAACCAGTTTATTGCCAGATCAAACTGACGCAGAAATTGACACCCATCAGTGATGACTTCCCACAAACAAAACAAACACCTCAATCTCAAGTCAAACAGCATCTCTCCAGTTCAGGCCCTTCCATTCATTCAACCGCGCCCTGCTGATCACCTCATTCATGATTCATGAACAGGGCAAACTTGGCTGCATCACCTTAAAACATAGATCAGCTCACGTCCGGCCGAGGTGAGAGGCCGAGAAATGTAAATCTGATCGGAGAGCTATCACAGTCCAAACATCTGCGCCTCTTCCGTTCTTGCGTCGGTACCTCGAAAACAAGCACGTGTTCCGGACACTCGGTGTCCCTGCAGTCACGGTGTCACCACGGTGCCGAACGTGGAAACCCTCCAAGTGCCTTTGTTTTTCCGTTTTGCCTTCATCCCCTCCAATTTAGTCAGTCGTCAAACAAGCTGAGGTTCTGTTGGGTGTTGTGGTCATCCACCCTCGTGGATCAACACACTTGGTACGTTGTATCGCTGCGCCGCAGCACTGACGAAGATGACGAACCGAAAGGATTGATAACGAAGGTCAACAATGCCCTACAAATTGCGTGTTTTGCGGTTGTTTGTCATGTTCCAAACAGGGAGAAACTGGGAAGTTGGACCCGAACCGAACAGCTGTCCCAAGGTGTGCTCCCTTTCTTAGTGATTATTATCGATCGCTGCGGTACTTTGTCATTGGCCTTGTTCCGGACGTAAGCCGCTTCAGTTAACGACGGGAAAAAGGGGGAGAGAATCGATGCAAGATTTGTAAGAACCTGACACGAGGGCGCTCGTGTAAGCACTCAATTCCACAATCTCCAAGAGTCGGAGGAAAAGTAAATCCACACACTAAACTCGGATGAAGTCATCGTCGGGAGGGTTCAAAGTTCGGTTCTTCAATCAGAAATGTTCATTGTGCATTCGAAACAAACAAAAAACGGACTGTCTGGAAGTGTACAGCGCTGATTGGGAGAGGTGATTCAATCAATTTGCTTGGCGGTTTTGGACTTTGAACCGCTTGATTCCCACTGCTCGTGAGCTAGGCTGACGCTGTTAATCCCTCAGGTGCTGCCGTGTATGCGATTAATTAGTGCGACCTGCTGTCGGCTGATAAAGGCGTCTTCGAGTGTGTTGGGCGTCAGTTGAAATTTAATTTAATCGAAGCTTTGTATGCTTGTGAAATCGGGCTTAAAATATGTAATGAAGAAATTGGCGTGACATGTGATTGATGGAAATCATACAAAACACCAACAACAACAAATACAAAGAATCATAAGCTCTGAGACTGGATTGTATCAGTTGTTGATGTAATCAATCCTATGACGTATAGTACTGACCAAATCATCTACCACCTTGTGATTTCCACAAACGATGATAAGGGTGACGACAAAATATCTGCGAAAAAAGTGAGCTGATAAGATAATTCGCCCAACTCAGAACAATGGAAATTTTTTGAAAAGGCATCCTAAAAATTAAAAATAGCAAGACACGTGAATCACTTGATAGTGCACTATGTGAGCATAACCTTCGGTGAATTTCCACTTAAGACAAAAAAATTACCACGCAGTATGAACGCAAAACAACTGCAATGACGATAGTTTAGTGAACTTCTCGGGCATTTTTCTTGATATTGATTTAAAATACAGTAGAAGTAACTTATTTCCTCAATTAACTCCATTTCCTCTCATTGACATGTAAATTTCTTCAACCTTAGTAGTTATTTTTCTGACTGTTTCTGGACTTTCTATTGGGGATATTTCTGCAAATGAAACACTTGTCTTTAATCCTCTGTTATAACATATATTCCCAGTGCATACTTTAATGCCCATCCCATCTCCGTTGAACATTTGTTATGGATAACACGTTAAACCAAACGATTTATCGCAGTGGGATATCTCCGGTGGGAAATCGTTCACAAGCATGTATTGCACATCCCAGCCCAAGTAACATTGTAAGTTTTATTGAGGTTTTAAAGCACCCTACAAGTCTAAATCATGGTCTACAGTACCCTAATAAAACCCAAATTGTTACTTGGGAGGTAACCAATAAGCCCGCTAATTTGGATTGATTTTGTTATATACAGCTAACATACGACTAATACAGGGCTTTGGCGCATTATTAGTCAGATTGTTACTAAGCAGACTTGTTGGGTTACTATGGATTGCCACCTCACTTTTTTTTTCCATCAGCATAATCGAAAATTTGATATTCAGAGTTGTGCTTTCACAAAATTATAAAGTTTGGATCATGTTCAATATTTAATCATAATTTGCTACTTCAAGCAATCAAAAATCCATCCATCCAAGCAGGATCATAATTCAAAATGTTCATTGGATAGCTTAACGTAGGAATTTATCCGCCTCTTAAACACATAATAAAGAATTAGAACTACAAGTATTCAGAAATATATCTCTTAGCTTTTTGCCATTCTTGGATTTACACAAAGACGCTCCAACCCATTTTCAGAGGTTTAATTTTTGTTGGACCGAACTAAACATAGCACCACCCAGTTTTATAGGTTCAAGCAAAATGATGCGCAACCAAATGGTGCTCGATTATGAAGACTTTATTATGGTTATGGTTTGGAGAGAACGTTTATTTCATTGAAACAGTGATCAAATTATCACTTTTAATTTGAACATTTTTCAACGATTTTTTTTTTTAGAGAATTGGAAAAGCATTTATTGTAGCAAACTGTGAGAGTTATTTCCTATCGATTGGTGTATTTGGATTTTAATTTAATCTATAAATGACAAAGCTAATAAGCGTTCAAAACCTTACACCTTTTCGTGACGGTCGCAACTTTAGATTTTCGATTTACCCCCAGTACCTTCCCGTAAGACGTAGTCTACTTCAAAAAACAACTCCGAAAGATCAGTGTTGGGAAACTATAAAAAAAAATCAAATCTAACCAATGTCTAAGATCACGCTTGATTTTTGTCGACAAATTAACGGCGGATGATATTACAAGCTGTGATATCGTAGAGCTACGAATATCAAGCTAGCATAACTCACCAGCTTTAATCCTAACCAAACCGTGGTGAGTTTGAGTTGCATGATTTTTGCTACACATCCGAACGCGACCCGAAACTACCGTCACTGCTGCAGTAGTTTCGTGTCTGCCATCGGTGAAGAGTAAAGAGAGATAGCAAACTATACTTTTTCTTTTTAGGCAAACCATGAGCAATGGAATCATTTTTGTGTCGAGTCAACTCTTAGCTTGATATTTACATGTTGTGAATAGTTTCGCAATATCAAAGGAGCTTGTAAAATCAATGTCAATGTCAATGTGGAATTGACCGTGAGTAATCGGTTCAATTCCTTTTTATTATAATTAAAGACATTAATTATGTATAACGCAAATGATAACTTGGCTCTGTAAAGTGTATGCGATTGAGCCTGTACAAATAAATTAATACAAAAAAATAAGTCATATTTCCTCATATTCGTACATTTCTTTTACTCAATCTTTGAGTAACTGTGGTTTTAGCAAATGACATGGAAGTCAAATAAATTTTGTTATTAAATCCAGGGTCCTGCGAATAAATTTCCATAATTAGAGACATATAAACAACTATGGATGATCCAAAGAATACCCCACAAATATGCCAAGAAACGCAATCAGATGGTATTTAAGCTATTTATTTAAAAAATTACAAAGGTATTAATGGCAGTAACTTCAAATGGTTCGCGGACAGTTAGTTTTTTAGCAAATTTTGGGAGACCGATTTTTAACGATTCAAGCCCTGGGGAGCAAAAATATATAATTTTGCATCAGCCTAATGGGCATTATCTAAAGTAAAGTCAGCTAATTCAAATCATAATGCTGCAATTGTTGTTTCCCGCATGTAGCAAGCGTATTCTCAATAAAATAATATACCGCAATTTGGCACAACAATTCCAAGCTGATACCGCCAGCGGATCGACTTTTCGACTTTGGAAACAAACTTGTTCAAAGATTGCTGAAAAATTGAGAGCAGCGAGAAAATCGAAACAAGGGTCATCGCGCTCGGCCCATAACGATCCAACACCAAAACAGACAACGACTTTACGCATAATTAGTATGCTCACGTGTCGTTCAACGATGGCGGTACGAATCCGTCCCAAGGTTATCGCCATCGTAATTAGCTCTGTGAGGCAAGAATGCGAACTTTTACGATTTGGTGCTAGAAATTTCCACAAAAAAACAGACTGAGAATGGAAAAGGGTGGATCATGACAGACCATTCGAGCAGGTATCGACGTGTTCTTTCATGAATTACCTTCCATCATAGGTAGGCTAGCTCGATGTGCTGAAAACTGCTCACGCACACGAACAAACGTAGCCGACCTTGCACTTTTTTTTTCAAAATAGTATGCATTTCGGAACGGTCTAGTAGTAACAGGTACTTACCTAACGGCATATCGCACAGCAGACAGCATGCGGCCAGCGATCCCGCCGAGGCTCCACTGATCCGATGTAGCAACAGATGGGGGGCATACTTTTTGAAACAGACAGCAACACCAACGTGATAGATTCCCAGAAAACCGCATCCAGCAAACGACAGATTCATCTTCATAGCCATTAAAACAGTAAACAGAAGAAAAGTCGTTCGGTCTTTGTCTCACTAATTAAAGGCAGGAATTCGATAGGCTTTTTTTTTCGTAAAATTAAAACCTCCCAAAGATTCTTCCGGCGGTGCGTTTGTGTTTAAAACTTTCCGTCAGTTTTGTTTTATCAGTTTAAAAGTAACCAAACGTTCGATCACTCACACTTTACTGTTTCTTCGAAGGTTTAGCTTATTCACTAAAAAAAATTCGGTTTTTATGCACAATCACACTCTGACCGTTTGTACTGTTTTGTATCTTCTTTCGTTGCACTACTGGTTCACTTCTCTTCGTTTGAAATAGGTCCGTTTTTTCCTCTCTTTCGAATTATACACAGTCAATGGTTTCCCAGAGGTATCCAGCTTACATGGTTCTCCTGTGGAAGAAGAGAAAAGACGAAAGATGCTATTAGAGGCCTACTTTGTTGAACTCTAATTAGGTTTTATAATTATACATTTTTTATGGCGCAGAGAAAGATACTGAAATGGGAGGTAAACATTTCCAAGGGCTATTCCAAAAATACGTACACTACCAAAAGGATGCATTCACAAACGAACCTTTTGAATCCAAAGCCTTCTAAGCAGTCGTGCTTTCGAAAGTGAACGTTCTTGGTCGCTTCGATCGCAGTTCACAACCAGAAACTCAATTAGCACGATTAGCACAATCGAATTGTTTGTTCCTTATGCACTGAACCAAAACTGCTCCAGCTTTTCCCCAGATGTTTACACAAAAGCTGGAACAAAGAGGCTCTCGATCTCGCAGCACTCCAGTAATCGAATCTCAAATCTCACAAACAATGTCGTTCCTTCCAGTTCCTCCAACTAGACTCACTGCGTGCTGTATGGTGAGGCAAAAAAATCAAAACACAAATTCGATTTATAAAAAAAAAACACCAAGTGTCGGAAAGAAAGTGCAAACGCCTGACCAGCTGGAACTGAACTAAAAGCTACCGCTATCTAGGTACTGTCGTTTTATACTTGCCCTGTGTCGCGGGGCCGCATTCGACGATGATGACTATGTGTGCGCGCGGTTATTGTGAAGTGATATGAGACGGACGGATCGTGCCTTTGAATGTGAGCGGTATGACTACGACCACAACGACGATTAGACATCGCGCGTATCACATTGCCTCGCCACAACCGCGCCGTCAGTTCTCGGTCGAGATGTGCGGTCATTTATTGAAGTTATTGTTATTGTTGCTGTTGACATCTACCCACTTGCACACTAACATCATTGAAAGGACTTAAACATTGATGAATTGCGAGTAGAGCGAATTCTAATTGCCAGCTTTTGCACACAGCAGAAAATGGTCGAAATATTTACTAATAGAAACCTAATCTACTCAAGTCGAAACTCGTGCCAAGCTGCTTATTTTCGTGTTCAATTTCACCGTCATGCCTTATCGTTGAATAATGCTATCACAGCTTCGTTGATGGTACGAGATTGCGTAGCACTTTTTGGAACAAAGGATTTGATTACCTTCTTTTGATAAGCCATCAGACGATACGGTGTGTGCGAAGAACCCTAAACTTCATCCACTTTCTAATGATGCTTTTGGATCAATGTAGCATCACATAATTGAAAACATCTTTGAGTCGTCGAGGTGCATTTTTTAAAATTATAATGGAAAATGTGGAGTACTTTGAACTCGGCTTCTCAATATGAAATAGTAGTACTAACTCACTAACTTGCTTTTAGTATAAAGAAGTTATTTTTTTTAATGAACCGTTTCCTAAGAGTAACTAATTATGTTTAATCAAAGTTACATCCCATCGGTAGGTAAATTCCTCTTTTAAAATGAGATCAATTATCCTTAATCAACATCATGCCATCGCTCCAAATCGCCATATTTTCACTTGAATTTCATCAAATTGCTATCCATGCAGTCAGTTTCACAACAAAACGAAAATCATTTCGTAACATTTACTGGAACTATCTACACAAATTAGTGCCGAGAAAATTCTAGAACACTAGACGGAGAAATCCTTCCAGAACGAGCGCCAACAGTGTTCACCGTTTTACCACTTCCGTTTTCGTTCGCTAGCCTTTGCTTTCAGCTTAATAGATCAGTCCACAAAACTAAATTTCCACCTCAATCAATTCACCATCCACGAGCTTTGGCAATTTTCCGTGGGTTTGAATTGGCCCCCATTCGTTGCCAGCTCTTTTACTCTCATGGTGAACGAGGAATACCCAAAAGCTAGAGATAAACTGAGGTTAGCACTGATGTTTAACAGCAACAACAGCAATGACCATGATCAAGTTTTCTCGAACATTCCAGTTGCTTCACCATGAAGGGTAAAACGATCGGCTGCTGTTGGGACGGTTTGAATGCATAATAATTTTGACATGTTCCTTTTAGTTTATCGAAATAAACTATTGTACAGTTTATTATCTTACCAATATTGTTTACATTATCTATCACGACAGGGTAAATCAAACAGTGCACAAAACATTGGCAGCTTGTCTGTGGGTTTATTTTGGCTCCTATTCGTTGCTATCTCCTTTACTTCCATGGCGAAGGAGGAATAAAAGCAAGAGGCAAAGTGAGGATAGCACTGATCTAAAACAGCAACAACAACAACAATCATGATCAATTTTTCTCGAATATTCCAGTAGCTTCACCATGAAGGACGAAATGATCGGACGCGTTGGACCTGGTTTCAACTGAGTAATTTACAATCGTTATGACATGTAGCATTATTTGTCTAAATCTCGCGTAGAAAGCTATTGTTTTGTTTGGTATCTTAAGAATATTCGCGACTAGACGATTTCGCCATAAGTTAAAACAGTGCCTTCCTGTTTTTAAAAACGCATATTTTTGGTATCTTTCCTTGCTATACCGTATGCGTGATAATGTTTGCACCATTGAGCAATGTCAAAATTTAAAAAAAATCACAAAACTTTCTTTTTCGAGTTTTTTTTTATTTATTTAAAGGGAGGATGTTTCTCAGAGTTTTAAACTATGTTAATCATCGATCGATTTTCTACTTGCTGCAATTACGGCCTCCACACGCTTCCGGAATGCACGGCAGATTCTAATAATGTAGTCTGGACCCATTTCTCTCCAGGTACGGGTCAATGTTTATCTGAGGCTTGCTGTACTCGGGTGGCGTTTAGAACAGGCCTTGGCTTTCATGACGCGGTATATTGAGTAATCCAGCGGATTAAGATCGGGGCTGGATGGCGGCCACATATCCTTCGCCCAGAACGGAAGACTTACTTAAAATCCTGATGTAGACCTCCGTGTTGACCTTGTCACCTTCTGTAATGAACATCAGGTCCATTTTTTTGCAATCGGAAGCCACCAATCCATACTACATACTACATACTACATTGCTGGTTTATGCGATATTTCACTTTAATTTACATGAAATATCGTTTAAATTAACGTCAAATAATAACCTAGCGTTAATAACGTTTGCGCTAAATCTATCGCAAAAATTTACAAAAATTGTTCATACGGTGTAGCAGTGTTGCGCAAATATCAAAAAATCCAATCCAGGGTGTCGACTCAAAGGCGAAAATAAAATTCCCTGAATTTTCCTGACTTTCCAGTCGGTTTTCAGAAAAATTCCAGTCCACAAAACTTCGTTATTTAACCTAAGAAGCTACAACGTGATGTGCTTTATTATACCATAATGTAAATTAAAGTTAGTTTAAAATGAGCAGCAGGGTAAGCTTTCGAAAATATCAAGAATAGCATACTCATGGCACGTACAACAGAACTTGATACTAATACAATTTTTATAGACCATATTACCGACTACCTACGAAGGATGTGAATAGACCTAGGGCTATAAATACATATTATAATATAATAATGAATAGCTACTGCTCACAACTAGGCTCACTATTCATTACTAAGTAATAATAGGAATATTTAATCAATGTCACCAAGCTCTCAATTTGTGTTCATAATTTCACAGCCAAAACAAAATCAATCCGTAGACGATCCTTTCTCTTAACATATAAATTATTGTAAATTAACAGAGCAGTGATTATTCTTGCTTTGGCAACCGAACCTGAGGATGCACTGCTCATGCATTAGTCAGTTTCGTACTATCTGGAACTCCATATGACAACCGCAGACATGGCAAAATAATTTATGTTTAATTATCATTAACATTTTATTCTCTCAGTGAGTTCACGTTATGCCTCGTTCAGACTGGAGAGTCATAACATGTTATAACGGTTGTCAAATAATTGCAACACAGAAACCACCATCAAGGTAGCGCTATAACATGTTATAACTCTGTAGTCTGAACGTACTATTACAAAGAGAAATTATAAGTTGAATAGGGAAGAGCGCTACTTCGTCGTAATCGCCCATTTCCGTTCTATCGAGCAGAAATCATCAATAATGTCAATGATTTCACCACGCACAAAACGATAATACGTTTGTTCCGATCCGTTAGTTCATAAGCCACAACATGAAGCCTATTACAGCGAATTGTATGAATATGTACACTCATTGTTCTTAAAACAAAAGAAGCGGTCCTAGCGAATCCCATTTTTCTACGTTTATCAGTAGGACGAAGAAAATTTAATGGCGTTTCAATGCGTTAGGACGGAATTGAAACTCGTTGGACGAATTTAGCATCAAGAAGCAGTGTTAGATTTATAATAATATCTCAATATTGTTTGACTCTGTATCAAATCTAATGGCACGTATGGAAAGGTGAATAAATTCAAAAGTTATCTTTGATGAAAACCTTCCATGTTTTGTTCAAACCCTTTAAAAAAAGAGAGGTAAAGTGCGAGATGTGCTTAGTAGGACGGAAATTAGATCAAAAACCCTATGTGATTTATTTCGGATTAATTTTAAAAATGTTTATCAATTGAGCAGAATAATTTTCTCCTGCAAACTCTCGGCTTCTTTTTGAGCATCTTTAGCTCTCGGAATCGACAGCTTCTTTCATACGACGATCCTTGTATACATGGAAAGCGAATGCAATTTTTCGAACTCGCTGAATAATTTCATTCAAAATTTGTAAGTTTTCCAACCCGTCTGCATGAGTAACACCATCATAGATCTGACGTCGCGCTACGACTGAAACGTAATGTGGGCGGAAGCGGATTGGAAACGGCAAGTTTGACAATTGTCACAAATGACATCAAGATGCCTAACCGCACTCGATTTGATTCTAACTAGTTTTCAATTCGACAATTCTGAGTAAGCCTAGATCGGCCTTTTCCGCTACCACTGCTGTTCCGCTGTCATTGCGTTTGGGCCTTGACTCTTCCCTCATGTTTTCAAAAAGATATTCTGCATTTACCCAAAAACTCTCTCTGCATTGGCGTTGCCATGCAATAAGCAGCAAATTATTTTCACAACCAACAATAGTTCTGAATACGCCGACCAATAACCTGTGCCAAAAAACGTCCAGTCGTTCCTTTTTGCGATCATATTGATCAAATGTGCATTTACCTGTGCAATATTATTCAGATGGTCAATATTAATGAACCTTTCCATAATGCCTCTAACCATTTGAGACATCACGTTGCACAAAAAAGGCACCATAGGGTTGTCCGTCTGAAATTCGCATCGAAATGGCTCAACTTCGACAGCAACTGATTTGAAGAAAGCTAGCTTAATACCACGTTCAGACTACAGAGTTATAACATGTTATAACGGTTGTCAAATAATTGCAACACAGAAACCACCATCAAGATAGTGCTATAACATGTTATAAATCTGTAGTCTGAACGTACTATTAGCCATCAGCAGCGAGACATTCAAACAGTTTTTAACATCTTGGTAGGAAGCTGACGTTGGTTCGATTTTGTCTTTCTGGACGCCTTGAATAAATTTTCGTATTTGCGGAGTAATTTTGATTGCTCTCTGAACAGCAGCACTATTTTCCAACCATCAGTGACCGCAAAACTTTAGCAGTAATATGGTAGATCCAGAATACATCGTGATAAACGCTCGTCTTGCTGGTAC